CACGATCCATGGGAATGGGCAAAGGGGGCTGGTTTCACATAATGGTGAATGAAGGAGGCGGGGTCAAGCAGGAACACCCCCTCCCTCCTCCTCCTCCTGCTCCTCCCCCTCCTCCCTCCTCTTCCTCCTCCCACCCACGCGCAAACAAAAGTGTCGCCTCGTCTTCCCCGTTAAAAACGACGCGAACGCGATCGGCTCCACGTGCGTATTCACGCACACGCCTGATAACGATCAATTGTCCCTCTCAGTGGGTCTTGATCACCTCACTTTGCCTCCGTTGATCTGCTGATAAAACGAGTGGTCCTTCTACCGAGGAGGATTCCACTCTCTTATTTTATGTTTTATGCTCAGCTAAGCATATAGTTGAATAAGCTTAACGCAAAGACTGCAAATCAAGCATATCTATTTTATTTGTCACATGTAGGCTAATCCTGTAATTACAGGGAAATAAAACTAATCCCGCCGGTTCCTTCAATTTGTGCATTTGAATAGAGGAATAATAACAGGCCTCCGTGTGTACAATTAGAAGAAGAAAATCCCCTTAACAGAACCTTTCAAACTCACCGTTGAAAATCTTGTTTGCTGAATTTATGACTCGAAAGGAACCAGAAGTTTTATAATGACGTGTTGGTTCATGTGCCAACCAGCAGAGACGTATATACAAGCTATATGCAAGGCAGCAGATCTACGTATTACGTCATCACTGGTCTGGTACAGAGTGGCTACAGGGGGGACGGGGGGCGGCTCAGGTCACCGCCCTGCATTCCTGACTAACACCCTGTCAGTTTGTAACCCCACACACACCTTCCCCTCTCACCTGTCTGCTCCCCCCCCTCCCCCCCCCCCCCCAACAAGAGAGCATCCACCACCAGGTAGACCACCGTTTGCTGAACAGAAAGGATCGACTCTGCTCCGCCACATACCGCTGATGCACGAGGGTCCGCGTGAGTTTCCTTAATTCATCAAGGATGGGTTTTGGTTGGGGGGGGATGCGACGGTTTGTTTCGCTGCGCTCTCCCAGTAAAGACCTGAAAGCAATCATCAGCCCCTAAACGCATCAAGCTGGGGAGACTAAACGCTCACACTGCATAACAGACTTTAAGGGCTTTGACGTCTGGGTGTATTTTCGTCCAACGTTGTGCGATAAATGCCTGTTTATTTTTCGTCCTGCGTTCCACTTCCTTCATGTGAGAGGCTGGTGGAAAAAGGTTTATTATTTCATTAGCACAGGCCAATAGAGATGGACAATAGACAATAGAAGCTGCCTGGCATTTACAAAGTAATTGAAAATCTGGATGACGTTGGGTGTGAGGTGTACTGTAACACTCCCTTATATAAAGGTCACAGGGTCGGAACTTTCATGCAAACGCCTGTTGATTTTTCTAATCTGGCTTCCATTGACTTCCTGCTCCCTCTGGATGGCGTTTCAGGTTCCCTCCAACCTGGACCAAGCCACAGGAGGCAGCTCTCCTTAATACAAAAAGGGAAACACCGGCTTTGTGAAATACTGTGACCTCTGACCTCAGAGTCAGGTCCTACCCATGATTCAGCCCGAGGCCTCGTCCTGGTTTATGGGGAAGCTGTGGACCCGGATGAAGTCACCGCTGAGGTCACCACAAATCCATCGTGCTTCATCGTCTGAGGTCGAATCTGCTCAGACTTTAACATCTAGTGCAGCTTTCCTGGGCTCACCTACAGAGCGTGGAGAGGACGCACACGTGAACATCTGCTGGGCCTCTGCTTTTCCCTCATATAGGACCAACGTTAAAGAACAAAGAGGAATCCGATAAAAACAGATTGACAGCGGAGCAGTGGGTTATACAACATGTCCGAGAAACTCCCGTGGGAGTTCTGATACAGTTTTTTTGGTCACCGTTGGATTCCATTTTAACAAGATGATTTCAAGCTGTTGTTCTCGGTGTGAGTGGAAAACATTCGCCAGAGACCTTTCAAATCTACAGGGGGGAGCGTTTGATGCTCACATTTCAGATTTCAGGTGGAGCAGTTTGTCAGCTTCTGCATGGCGTTACGTTGACCCACTTCTTTTGTAAGTATTTTATATTCCCCCCCCCCCCATGATTGTTTCAATGTCAGGCTGACAAAATAAAGAAGAGAGTAGGGCAGAGATGCTCTAAATGTGGGTAAACTCTTCGGATTTACCTCAATGTATAACAGTAAGAAGCTTTAAGCAACTTCTCCCAAGAAGTTGCTTAAAGCTTTTTTTTTTCTTCGAGGCTCTTTTTTTTCTCCAAGAGAAAAAGATCTGCAGGTTTTTGATAAACTTGATCATATTTTGTTAGTTAGCTAGTTATTTCTAGCATCGAATCCAGCACACAAAAAGCTGTCATGATGTCACGTGAAATAATCAAGTACAACGCAGAATCCGAGATGCAGAAGCTTCCAGCAGCACCCGAACACAGCAAGATAAAAGCATTTCGATCAAACCCTTCCTTAAAGAGTTCCTCTTTTGTCCTGGGTTCAGCAGCCTGCTCCCATCGCTCCTCTGGGTCTGTAAGTGCCTCTCTGACTGCGACACGCTGCAAACCCCGTACGTCAACGCGGCACAGATGGACACGAGATTGTCCTGGAGAGGAAGAGCAATGTGTGGCATGCGCTCTTCGCCCTGTCTGCTCCATAGAAGCCTCAAAAGAAGTGGATGTCTAACGGATGAGCTAATGTAAACTAAAGGGCCCATTCTGGCGGCGATAGGCTCTCCCTCGGGCCCCCTGCATGTCTTCTGCAACCCCCCCCCCCCCCCCCTTCCCCTTTCTTACATCCACCCATCCACTTCTTGCTCTTGCCTTTTGTTCCAATCCTTTCCTCCACCCTTGTATATCACTACTTCCTAAACCTCCCAATTCCTTTCCTGTTATTAACCCACCCTATTCTGCCCCCCCCCCCCAAACACACTTCTCCATGTGTGCCTGTGTGTAATTTCCTCTCCATCGTTTGCCCCGGGGGTCCCGCTCTCCTGCTGAAGCATCTCACAGACACGTGTGCTTCTGTATACATCTCCCCGAGATCAGAGACGCGTGATGAGAGAGAAAGATTTGAGGGGCGGAGGGGGAGCGAGTTGGGCTGAGAGCCCCTCAGCTACAGAATGTCGGGCCTGCTTGATCCACGTTGGCTGGGACCGGTTGGACCTCCGCACAGATGCACCATCCTACCGAGCCACACACACAAACAAACAAACAAAAAAACAAAGAAGCCGGAGAGCTTTAACCCCCGCCCCCCTCCCCCCAAGCCAACAGCAACTATCAAACATGTAAACATGCCTAATTAAGAAATGATGGAGCAGCGTTTGCTCTCTTTTGAATGTGGAAAAGGCCATTTGCAGCCATGTGTGAATAAACGCAGACCTCTGCCAACTTGCAACAGAGCAGCAGCGGAGATCCAGACCGACATCTGGAACCAAGCAGACAGTCACATGGTGAACATCATGTACGGGAATACCCTGAAATGTAAAAGCATGAATCTGTGCAAAGCCCAGAAACAATCACAGACAAGGACATTGGGAGCGTTGGAGGATTTTGAGTTTCACTCCTGCTGCAACTCAAATCAATTTGTCTCCAGCGAGGACACGACAGCCCGAATTATTCGGAGACGAAACACTCGCTGTCACTGCTGTGTCAGTGTGTTTTATTTCAATTAGAAACTGATGGATGGATAATCCACGAGGGGGGGGGCGTTTTGTATCGAATCACCGGCTGCCGCAGCTCCTACTGTGAGGAAAATGATTCAAACTGAAAAGATTCCAAGCTCACTGACAAACACAAGTTCTATTTTTCACACGCGTGAACCGAGATGATCCGAGAATCTCGATAAATGGCCGACCCTCTCATCACCACGGTGAGATTCCCAGCACTGTGCCCCCTCCCCTCCCCCGACACACACAGTAAACACATTTATAACAGACATTCCGCTTGGAGAGCGGTGACCTCGGTCACATCAGCGTGTTTGAGCATCGCTGCCATTCCACTCGTCCTCCCTCCTGAGCCGGCGTCAGTCCAAAGTTTACGGGTGTGTGTATCCAACCCGTGAACGCGGCCCTTGAATCCAACGTGCTCGGGAAAATAAACGGCGCGGTCAACAATCGAGCCGGGGACGGTTGAACTCGTCAACTGTGTGCGTGTGTGTCACGAGGAGGACACACAACGTGCACCCGGGGGTTCGGAGGAGGCTCGTCCTCGGGGAGAGTCACCCTCGCGAGTCAAGGGCCCGGAGGTCACCCAAGACGAGCTTGTTAAATTCAACACCCGGCGAGGGAGGGCATGTGGAGGAATGTTCTGAATATAACAGCAAACAGGCGTTCTGAAAGAATGTGTAAACGCTTGATACGCAAAGTCATTAATCGTATCAAGAAGAAGAAGAAAAAAAAGTGGTTGTCAGTGTTAAGTGCAACACAATAAATCACTGCAACAACTAATGTGGCTTAGTTTAATCTGCTAAAGGGAGAATAACAGGCCGAGGGAGTGTAGTTCATTGAGCGCAGCGCTGACCTCAGCGTGCCAACGCGCCCGGGATGACAGCGCTGACGTGGTGATGTAAACGCACTGTCGATCATGGGAACGTCATTAAAAGTTGACCCCCCGATGATGGCGTTAAAGATCAGAAATCCAGGGGTCACTAAAGTTAGAACATATTGTGCAAGAACCACAAACGTTTTGCACCAAATGTTGTGCGATTCCAGACAACTAAATCCAGACGTATTTAGGTGGACATCAAAAAAATGTTTATCTGCTGGTGGCGTCAACACAGATTCATCGTAAATGTTTCCCATATGCAGCCTGGTCATGACTGGTCTGTGTGACTGGTTTGTTTGCTGCCACCTGGTGATGGTGTGCGTCAGGCGGAGCATCCCAAAAGGGCCTCATCTATTACCGGATGGATTATTGTCATTTATATGGGAAGACTTCTGATTCTAAACGCACCCTCGGCTTGCAAACTAAAATTAAAATCCAAGGTTTGACACTTGACCGGTAGAAGAAAAAAAAACAAGACATAATTGGAGACTCTTTAATGATAAAAACACATGAGTGGTGTTTACGTCAAGTCACCAATCAACGTACGAATCGACGCCGCGGACAACATAGACAATGTGTTGTCTGCCACTTTCTTTGTTTCGGTTGTATGTCTGGTTTTGGCAGCTGACCATAATGTGAATGTTGGTTTCACAACCTGCCGGCATGGATTTCGCACAATCAGCAGCCGGACAGTGTTTTCGTTTTGTTGTTATCTTAAGGCCACTAAGATGAATAAGGTCAGAGCAGGCATGTAAGTAAGTAACCCCTGCCCCCCTCACACACACACACACACACACACACACACACACACAGGGACGTCCCATTAATGCAAATTGAATGTCCTTTTCAAGGACCGGTACTTAGATAAGGGAACGCTACTTCACAAAACAACATACGACAAGGAAAAAAGATATGTACCACTGAAGGGAAACTGAACCAAGTGACTCAAGTAATATACTCACTAATTCCTTGGTTACCTATTTGCTTATTGATTAATATTAATACTTGACTCGCAGCAACTGAACTATTATACTCAGTACACTGCAGGACAAGGTGGGACGGTCTGATGCTAAACTCAGGAAGAAAGCTACAGGACCAATATGATTTTGAATGTCGAACCCAAGACGTGACGGCTTGGTTTCTGTGGATGGTGGTTGTATCTGATGGTGGTTGTATCTGATGGTGGTTGTCCTTGCACTCGGCTTACTACTCGGCTTAGAATATTTGAATCACCTGTCGTATGAATTGAACATACTGCACATCTTTTATGTCGTTCATTCCGTACACGTGACGTCCGTTGCAGTCCGTCAATCCCGGGAGAGGAATCCTTCCTCTGTCTCCTGAAGGCTCCTTTTTTTTTCTGTGTACAGACTTTAAAGCCCTCTGAGGCAAATGAGTGATTTAAGGAAATACAAAATAAAATCAATTGGAATGAAGAATTGAATTGTGAGCGCGTAGAGTTCTCGCCCAGGTCAAGATTTAGAAAAAGACACGACAGTTTGTTCTGGTCCCACGCCGCTCCACGGTCTGTCTTACAGCGCAGTTTCCTTGGAGTCTGGCACCACCGGTTTGAAGGTCAAGATCTCTGTGAAGGTGTGACCTGAAGGAAGAAGCACAGCACTGATCATTAAAACGCAAAAGCTCACTTCAGCTCCGTTCTCCATTTATTTTGCTTCCTTCCACCGGGATCAACGTGGCTCCTGCTTACGTTTCCACTGGGCCAAGGACTGGTCCGTGTTGTCTAACGAGTGGTCGTACTGCTGCGGTACCGTCTCCTCCTCCGGTTCTCTGAACTCAGTGAAGTAGGGCAGCATGAGCGCCTCCTCAGCGCTTACCCTGCTCTCCGGATCCAGCAGCAACATGCGCTCCAGCACGGCCACGGCTGACGAAAGAGTGGAAACGGGGGAATTGAAATCGCTCGGTGCGACTGTCAAACGGATAAATGCGATCAATCGGCGAGTCTGACCACCATCTCACCTTGTGGATTAGTTGTGGAAAACACACTGTGGAGGTCTTTTTTCTCCACTTTCGGGAGGCTCTTGACATAGCCTCTGGCCTGAGAAAAGGAGTGAGTACATTGAATGCAGCACAAACGCAGATTTCCCCCCAATTGGAATTCCAATTCCTAAAATTCTTTAGATGTGGGGAGGGGGGGGTGATATGTTGCAACAACGAGATAAAGGAGTTTCTGTATGAGTTGCATGCTCACAACTCACATCGTCAGATACTAGTTTTGCTGCAAACTCCTGAGTCGGGGTTCCTGTGACCTTCATGATCTCCGTCAGCTGATTCAGGTCTTAAGAACTGCGGTCAAGGGTCAAACGAGAAAAGTCACATACAAAAAGATATTAATTTCAGATGATTGGAAAACGTCAAGCAACGTTTTGATCCTCAAAAAAAAAAAAAAAAAATTAAAAAAATGTCAGTGGAGAGGGGTCGGGGAGGTCAAAGGATACGGTCGCTGCCTTTAAAAAGGGGTTTTCCTTGCAGCATCTCTGCCATGATGCAGCCCACGGACCAGATGTCCACTGAGAAACGAGCAGAAAACAACACTTTTCACATGTTTTGTTTGAATCTTGAGCAACAAACAATAACAACACACTGTGGGTCACTGAGCAGCGACTAAAGATTCCCCATTAAAAGCACGTTACATGTTAAAGTGTTGAGATCGCCACCTAGTGGATAATACGTAACATCACCGTCCGACTCCAATTAAACATTTTTTAACACCACATCTAACCACTTAAAAAAAAAAAACATTTTGTGTAGCTTTCCTCAGTATTTTTCTATTTACAAATTAAATATAATTGTTTAAAAAGAGGAAAAAGTACCAACGTGGCCTTGTTAGACTACAATGCACTGCAACAAGACGCACGATAAATCATTAAATAGAAAGAAACAGAGCAACACAACTGAGAGGATGTAAAGGTCTGTAAAGAAGCAGAAGATCTGAGGGCCGGCGAGAACACTAAAACAACTAATGCGGCGCTGATGGGCAGCAGCGAACATAACCACACGTTGCTGAAAGCAGTCAGGCCTTTATTACCAGTCTGCGTGTAGTGCATCCAGCTCAGGATGACCTCTGGGGCTCGGTACCAGCGAGTCACCACGTACCCCGTCATCTCGCTGTCTGCCTGCCGCGCCAAACCAAAGTCCAAGATCTGAGAGAGAATGCAACAAAAAAAAAAAAAAAAAAGTTCGACGAAGCAACGTCGTTAAACACGTGACGGGGGTGTTGAGGTTATCAAGATGTGTCCAACTGTACCTTGAGCTCACAGTCTTGGTTGATGGCGAGATTTCCTGGTTTGAGGTCCTACAAATGTCCATGTGAAAAGAGCAACTATGACTGCGAGTCTGTGACGGAGCGGCAGAAGGAAACTAAAACCAGAGTCACCGTGGTGCACTGGGAAGGGTTTGTCAACAGGAAGCACCAGCTTTATTTAAAAATGTTTGAACGTCATATTTATCTCAGGTACACGGTAGAAATATAACTAACTACTTACCCTGTGAATGATACCAGATGAATGAATATACTGCAATAAAAGAATACGACCGGGATTTAATCAACAGAACAAATGAGCTAACGTTGTAAAGTAATAAATTGTGCAAAAGAAATCAACAACCGACGGAGAGAGTGCTCCACCTTGAGCCCTTTCAGCATCTGGTAAACCAGATACTGGATTTTATCTTCGGACAGCCTCTGAAGCTTCATCAGCCTCCCCAGATCCGTCCCCATGAACGGCATCACCAGGTAACTTGAGGGGGGGAAAGAGACGCGTCGAGTGGGAAGCACCCAACGGGAGGCCGGTTAGAAATGATTGAGAAAAGCAGCGCGCTCACAAACAAACGAAGGAGAGACTTTACAGACGGACGAACGCTGCCCTGCTGCAGCGGCAAGAGCACAAAGAGCACTTACAAATCATGGAACTTGTCCAGAGAGAGGTCAGCGGTGAAGACGTCAAAGAGGCCGATCACCTGCGGCAGACAGAAACACTTCTGGTCACATTACATTGCTTGTCAGAAAGGCAAATGCGCTGATGTGATGAGAAATATGGGCCCCCCCCCCACAATGGACAGCTGATCACGCCGACTCTCACATTTTCATGTTTCATATGTTTGAGAAGCCTCAGCTCCCTGTAGGCCCGCTTGGCGAACAGCTCCGACTGGAAAGGTCTGTACAGCTTCTTGATCGCTACTTTGGTTCCCGTTCTGGAGTCCACCGCAGAGCTGAGGAGAGGGGGGGGGGGGAGAATAAAGCATGTTGGGGAACCTCGACGTGTTCTGACTGAGGCTCTTGCCTTTTCTTCTGAGATCAGGAATGTTCAACCAGAAGCCCAAACCGGTGTTTAAACCCCCCCCAAAAAAACCCGTGTTTATAACTCCCGCAGTGATGGCTGCAGCATGCGGGCCCGACACACACACACACACACACACACACACACACACACACACACACACACACAGCGTTTGTTCATGTGTTACTAAGTTGCGTGCAGTCACACCGGGCCCTTTAGGTCCCGCCCACACGAGCTAATAACAAAGGGAGCGCGTGCTGCGCGACGAACGAGGTTCCTTCGAAAAGGCTCCGTTGTTCTGTGTCGTGTGTTAACTTTTTGCGTGAGCGCGTCCATTTCTTTTCACGAGCGCGCGCTCCAAACGCCACCCGCACACACACACACACACACGCGCAATCATCGCAGCCACGCGCCCCAATGGAGGACCGCGGGGAGGCGACGCCGCGGCTGCGCGTGTCTGCGTGGCCCCCCATCATATGAGGAAGTGAAGCAGCGTGCGCTCGCGCTACTTTTTCTTTTGTTTGGCCCGTAGGACGGCACCATCTGTTCCGTCGCATTCTCCACCTCCCCCTCCACCCACCCGCGATAATAAACCCGCCGCGGGAGCAGCATTTATATTATTCCGGGAATCCACTTACCACACCGTCCCGTACGCCCCGGTCCCCACCTGCTTCAGCTCCCGGTACCGCTCCGGTACTTCCCATGAAGTTTTGTTGACGTCCTGGCGGTAATAACCGGGCCTGATTCGCTTGGACATCCTGATTGATGGTACGATCCGAGGAAGCGTCTGAGAGCTTCTTCTTTTGTTTAGTTGTGTTTTTTTGTGCGCGTGTCTCTTCCGTCGCTACACACCCATTGTTCCTGATCCCACCTATGCGCGCACGCACGCGCGCTCGCTCGCTCGTCGCGCGGCTCCTGTGCGTGTCAGCCGGTCGGGGCGCACCCTGAGGTCACGGCCCTGTAATTAAAAGGTGAAGCGCAGAGCGGAATGCGCGGAACACGGAACTGAGCGCACGGCGTCGGTTGGAGACGCGTCGGCGGTTTGGACAGCAAGAGGAGCGCTGGCCTTTAAATGGCAACGTGTACTGTGGATGCGCGGTTCCTTTGCGCATTGGGGGAGGAGGAGGAGGTGGAGGAGGAGGTGGGTGTTTTGGGACTTGCTGGGACACGATGATTGCTGTCTTGACACAGCGGGCCGTTGACACACAACTATGTGGTTAGTTAACAAAGAGGACAACTTTAAAGTGTCACGCGGCGTCCTGAACACACGTCCAACGTTGGGTGGAGCTCATGAAATGAAAAGGCAGGTGTGTGACTGGCAACAACAAAGTCCATGTTTATTAAAGAAATATGCAGCTTTTAGAACATTGTTTCGTGTTAATTCTACAATTTATTGAACATAGATTTGGATAAAGATCTATTTACTATTTAGATTAGTTAACAAATAAGTTTACACAATCACATGGCTAAAATAGAAAAATTCTAACACACAGTTCCTATTTTCCCCCTAAGTTTAAGATTTGGTATCTCTGTATACTTTACATGTGAAGTAACAAAAGTGATGGATTATGGTTGTGGCTCCAAGCCTATAAAGAGGTGCTATGACAGAAGGCAAACGGGCAGTGCTACATACACGTATAAATAAAATAGAGAATTAACAGTATTGTGCGTTTAACTGCTGTGGCTTATTGGTTCAAGTGCAATGACTCTCCTTTACCCAGATACAGGGCAAACCGTAACATTATCATTATTATAATCTTAATTTCTCTCTTGCGCGCGCGCACACGCACACACACGTTATTTGGTTTATGTTGAGGTGACGCCTCACAGGTTGTCAGACTCAGACAGGTTGCTGTAGGACTTGTTGTCTGAGTCGTCATCAATAGCTGGTCGAGCACAAAGCAGACGGGACGGGCTGACGGCTTTCTAGGAAAAAGTCCAGCAATGTCTCTGGATGTCATTTGTGACATCTAAGTGCCAGTTATCCTAATTCGTCTTACATTCAAGGAAAGATCCACCTAAAAAAAAAAATAATGTCAATGGATCAGTACTGATTGTGTTTAGGACATTTACCACTTTAAAGTAATTTCCTGAGAAATTTCAAATATGCTGAAAATCTCGTCACGTCATCATATTAGTGTCTATTCAAGTTGTATTGCCCTGAATTCAACCCGCCGGTCTGCTTTGGCTCAGCCAGGTGCCCTATGGGGCGTCACGCCTCGCGCTAACTTCCCTGACGCTGCCTGCCCAAGTCATGGAGAGTTGCACATGAAGCGGAAAGGACATGAAAATGCCCAAATCAACTCCAATGAACTCTCATCACCATGAGCACAAGAGCAAGACAATCAAGGGAAGTTTTTACGAAGATCATGTGACGCAGATTTCACGGGCCCAGGCCGGGGGCCGGCTGTCATAAGGAACAGGAATTCTGGCTGTGGATTTAGAAGCTGCCTCCTGCTGCTGGTCGTCGTCGTCCTCCTCCTCCTCCCCTTCGTCCCTCTCGGCCTGCTTGGTGGGCGCGCCTCCGTCCACCCACGCGGGAAACTCCAGACCGGGCTGCGAAGAGAAGGGCTTCTCCAGAACCTTGAGCACTCGCTGGACCTGCAGCGCAGAGAGGAAGTGAGAAGTGACGGCAGGTAAACAAGCTGAGAGTCCAACACTGAGAATAAGGAGAACTAAATGAAATGGAACTTGGATGCGTTTAAATCTTTACTTTAAAATTGGCCTCAATGCAACAAAAAAAACTGTTGTGTAATATGACAAAGTGACGAGCTTCTGCAAAAGTATAATCCAAACCTCACCTCAGAGAAGTCTCCCTTCTCTGCAGCTTCAATTGCATTCTGGGCAATGTAGTTCCGCAGCACCACGCGAGGGTTGGTGCTGTCCATCACCCTCACCCTCTCCTCCTGCACCGCCTGCACATCGCTCTGGCCTTCCAGCTCCCGAGACAGGCGCTTCCTGTGGCCGAGAGAACACAACACAGTGGAGCAGTGGCACATTTCCCCTCCTTTACTTCCCTTCCGCCCCCTTTATCAGCCACACTTCCGCCCACGAGCTCTTATCCGCTCCATGCAGTCCTCCACCTTATTCGTCCTCATCTTCGCCTTCCATCCCACCGTGAATTTTTTATCAAAAAGACGCTCACCTGTAGCGTGTGATCCATCGGCTCCAGTCCTCGGCCTGCTTGGTCTTCAGCTCGTCCGGACCGGCCTCCGTCAGGTCTTTCAGTTTGCTGAGCTTTTCCAACTGCCTGGAAATCGTCGTCCTGTCGGAGATCATCTGGAACAGCGCCGGGTTGCTCTGCGCCATAGAGAGCAACATCGCCAGCTCGCTGCCATCGGCGGGCAGAAAAGACAACGGTTCGATGATTTATTGGCGTGTTGGAGAAAGAAGAGGACCAGTGCGGGTACTTGATACAATACGGACAATCTGAGGTAACAAGATGACCAAAACAAGTATACGCAAGACCAATGATATAAAGGCTGAATGGCGACACCTGGTGGCTGAAATCTGCATCACATCAAACTAAATACAAACATGTATTCCCAATCATTTAGCTATTTTTGTATTGTTACACAAAAGGTTTTGCAAAGTATACAAAATAGTACAATTAAGTTTTCTGACACACATGAATATCTAGTCAACTTTATTTGGATTTAGTCCCTCGTTTCACGAGGCACACTACTTTGTGTCCAGTAGCAAACACAGTGTGGGTCAAAGAACAACGTTGCCCTGGCAGGGGTCACTGGATAGAGGTAAAGTTGCTGGACACCACGGCAACTTCGAACGGGAAAAACCTTAAAGAGACTGTCTGGCTAATCAACTCGAAGCGGCTTTGCCATTTCATTCCTCGAACCCTAAATAAAACTAAACCGGCGGCCATTACTTTCCTTTCCGTGACGGTCTGAAACAGACAAAACACAGTTTGTCTATAGAACAGAGAGTACGCGCGGCCCGCTCACCGTGGATCCATCGCGGGCTTGTTTGCGGCCTTGAGCTCCTCCAAGGAGGCACACTGCTCCAGCAGGAGGGCCGTGGCTTTCCTGACGAGCTCCTCTTCTTCCTCACTTTCTCCCTCGGTGGGACAGGAAATCCGACTCAAGCCACGAAAGGTGTTGGTGAAATCGGCGCCTGCAGGAGGGAACCCGGGAAAGGTTACCGCGGTGACGCGACGGTGGCACCAGAGACGATTTACAAATCGGCCCATCGAGCCGCTCGTCCCACCTGTGTTGTGCATGGTCTGCAGCAGCTCCGTGATCAGCATCTCGTCCTCGGGCTCGTCCCTCTTCAGCAAGCCCAGCTTCCTCCTCATGTTCTCCAGGTAGAAGCTGTTATACAGCCCCAGGTACTCGCTCAGGACGGCTTCCGCCCGGTCCGGCGGCAGCTCTGGGGCTAGAGCCTCCGCCAGCTTCACCAGGTTCCACCTGCAGATGGCCGGCTGGGCCTGGTAGGAGTATCGGCCCGAGTTGTCGGAGGCGTTGCAAATGAAATCCGGATCAAACCTGAGAGGTGTTTAGGAGAAATCTGGTAAACGGCGCACCGCGTGTGTCCCCCGATTACCTCTTCGCAATCATTTTAACCTCCTCCTGTATGACGATGATGAATCGGATCAGATCCCCATTCAAGAAGAACATCAAGTAAATCAAATGCAAACGTCTGACCTGTCCATGAAGCCATATGGCCCGTAGTCCAGCGTGAGTCCCAGGATGCTCATGTTGTCCGTGTTCAGGACTCCATGGCAGAAACCCACACACTGCCACTGGGCCACGACTCGAGCCGTGCGGCGCGTCACCTACAAACACCGACAAAACTTTAAAATCTGAAAACATTGCCAAAAGCCTCCACCCGGAGTTTAGTGCTTCGGTAAACGGCGTAATCTCATATTGAGCCCGCGTCACGTCGACTCGGCACACGCAGTCAGCTTAGGAGGATTAATTGGGCCACATGCAAGCCTTCCATTCATGACCCGAGAGCCGATTCACTGGCTGAAACGTGCGACCCGCGTGCCCTGACCTCTCTGAAGAAAGCCACGTTCCTCTCCACCCTATCCGGGTGGTCCCGCTGGATGTCAGGGTAAAACATCTCAATGACATAATCCATCATCTGACCGCGGATCTCATCCCGTCCGTAGCTCGGCCCCTGGCGGCCGGTGTGCTCGTCGGCCTGCTTGAAGATCTCAAAGGATCCAAACCTGCACAGAGAGCACGCAGCTGAGACAAACAACCCCTGTGTGCGTGCGTATCTTAAGAGGTTCTCACGAGGGGCTGAAGATCGCCGCTCACCTGAGGAAGGTGGGAGCGATGCGGACGACCGCAGAGCACCGCTCATTGCGGGGATTCCCGCTGTAGTAGACGTCTCGTACGACCCTGGTGTCGGAGGTCACCACGCAGGCCGCTCGGGTGGTGGGAACGCCCAGGAAGTGCATGACCTCGCTGCACAGGAACTCCCTGATGCTGGAGCGCAGGACCTTGCGGCCATCAGCTTGTCTGTGGCGTGAAAAAGTAGATCCCCACAAAAAAAGGCAGAGATTTAATTCAGTTGCACTCATCAATTTGCGTTAATGTGTAACAATCCCTTTAAACACATCTGCTCATTTAAATGACCTGTAGGTTTAAAGCTGTAATAACCCTTGTACCTTGAATAGGGAGTCAGTCCAGCTCCTTTCACCTGCATCTCCCACCGACCGCTCGGGTTTTCCCGCAGCAGTTCCGGATCCTGACCGGGGGGCACCTTCACCTCCCCCAGGTAGCAGGCGGCGCCGTCGCCCAGCTGCCCGGCGAACTGCCCGAACTGATGGCCGCAGTAGCAGTGCGCGGCGGGCTCGGAGCCGGGCATGATCCTGGACCCGCTGAGGTACTCCGGCGCGAGCGGGTCGCGCGCGACCTCCTCCCCGTTGAGCCCCAGCAGCGCGAGGGCGTCGCGGGACACGGCCACGAACCGGGGCGCCGCCAGCGGCTGCGGCCTCACGCGGGAGAAACACGCCCCTTTCACCGCACGCGCGCCGGGCTCCTCGGACGGGTCCAGCGGGAGTCTCCGGAGGGCGACGTTGTCGAAGTCGAGCCGCTCGAGCGGGGAGCGGCTAGTCACCAGACCCATGTCGGCCATGCCGGCCGTAGCGAGGAGTCGGAGGGGGACAAAGATGCGTGACGGTCCGAGCCGAGGCCTTAAATAAGCCATCCAGACGCGGCCATCCGCCTGCTGAATGTTGGGTGTTTTTATTCGCTGGCGCAGTTAACTGCGATGTGGACAAGTCATGCTTTCGTAATCCTGCTCAGTGTGGCGGAAGCTACGCGAGACCGAATGTGTTACATCCTTATTTGTCCGGAAACAAGCAGTGAAGACGGAACCATTTCGGCCAACATCGTAAACAATTTCAAAATAAGTACATATACTATTTGTATTATTATAACTTGTCTAAATATCACATCACAGAACACGTTAAATTATTCATGCGCTTTACATTTTTAATGTGGTCTATTTCTGTTATATTTTCTTTTACTAAATTAATTCCTTGTATTGCGGGTCACTTGATACTTTCACTTAATTGTTTACATTTTTCATACACTGTTTTTTCTAATTCTAATTGTTGTAAACAAATCTCCATCCAAAAACTGCAATATACCTGCAATAACTGCAAAAAACCTTTCAAAGAAATGAAATAACTACTCAAAGCAAATGTAATCATCTCATCTAATCTTGGAAGCGGATGTGGTGCAACTGGCTGTCTAAGAAAATAAGAAAAAAATTCAGGAGGTAAATATATGTTATCTTTATTTAAAATTGTTTCAAAATTCATTACAGAGGTTAGAATTGAAAGTTCGGTAACAATGACAAAGGAAAACAAACCCTGCAATGAACACAGGGATTCATACAGTTCTCCAACATAAAATACCATTGAAAATAACATGGGAAGGACACAGACAAATGATGTTCAAGTTTGAGGGAATGAGATTCATGTCTATATATCTACTTGTAATATCCTAACCTCTAAAGCAAGATAACTCATGTATTAATTGGAAGACATTCTATCAGAAAAAGTTTAACGTGTGGAGAATTTCATTATGTGTGGCAATGCTTCAAGTCCCACATGAGTCCATTGGACCATTTCACATACAAAAGCAGCTAATGATTACAGTCATAGCGCTTATGATTACATCCAAAGAAATCCAGTACTGTACATAAATCACTCATGGAATTCTTGGAACTTGATGTTGGTTTGTGCACTTGCAGACTGGAGTTCAGTCTATTATCTTCCACATAACACAGCTCCAGGGATGTGTTTTTTTTTTCCATGTGCAAAAAGAAGCTCTGTACTATGGAGGTCAGAGCTGATAATCTGAGGGTTGAAGGCAGCAGTGATAGCAGTGCAAGGCTTTACCTCTAAAACTCTGACAAACCTCAACGGTCTGATCCTTTCACAGCCGTCAAAGCAAGTCCGTAACAAAGGTCCACTGGGAAATCATTTCAGTAAAGTTCGAGGCTCAATCGAAAGAAAACCCTCCCCTAAAAATTTGATTTCTATCATCTGTATCCCATTTAACTTCCAACTGACAAGTAATAATGCATATATCATAAAAGTACAAACAGCTGGTGTGCTGAACTATGGTTCTCATGTGGAGGTTTTTTAAGAGACGTCTTTCTGTACACATGCATATTTTTGGTATGAACAACTTACTGACAGATCAGCCAACATGTGACGGTGCTTTTTTTTTACTGGAGATACAATCAATTACACAAATTACAGGACCAATGCAATGCGCATCCGGAGGCACGATTGAGCCTGCCCTGCATCGGGTCAGTTTTGAATGCATGAATGGTTTAAAATGAAGAGGCTACGGCAAGTAGATGGGACATGGGATAAGAACAACATTATTGATGAAAGAAAAAGTCCATCAGAAAATAATACAAACACAAAATATTAGAAAATTGCATCGACCATTTGGTTGCAGTATGTGTAAAATGCATATACTTATTTTAACCCATCCCATTTAATTCCCGTTCAGCACTTACTGCTGCGACATGAGGCACTTATCTGTAAATATGGACAGGGCCGTGCACATGGGAAATACCTTTGTCCCAAGTAAGTTTTAATAAATGTGAATTACAAATAGTAGAATGAAGAAGATAATCTTTCGTCGAAGTCAGACTTTTATCTCACAGCATGAGGGTCACGCTCTGCCTCTAGATTATATTGACAACCTTGATATTGTGGTTTATTTTCCTCATCCACAGGCTTTATGTGTAATACAATATTCCTTTGTAAAGTGCTAGATCTGAAATGGGGAAATTATCAGAATTGCCGTCAAGGAAAATGGCTCATTTGCATCAGGACAATTGACCGACACGAATTCTGATGTTACTTGCTATCTAAAAAGGTTAATCTATTCAAAATAAATTATTGGCATTTGTAAACCTTACAAAATGCAGTATTTGCACAAAATCTGGACGAAAACAACGAGTACTGTCATGGTGTCTTTGGCAGTAAAGCCCTCCCAAGTCTACGCGGACTTCAATATGGTGGGATGCTCCAAATCCCTTGAAATCCTTGTAAATTATCACGTGGGCTGGTGAAACCTCTCTTCCAGCCTAAACTCCTGGTCTTAAGGCTATTGGTGAAAAATGTATGATTTCAGCAGGTCAAAGGTCGTATCACTGTTGGCTGAGAGCAGAGGGTTGCCAGAGAGTCTCCAGTACAGATTTGACTGTAGGTAAAGACATCAGCACTCTACCTAGACTCCCTCCGACACGGTAGCAGGCGTATCCCAGCACTCCCACCATGGCGCCCTTTATGACCGAGCGCAGCACCCAGCCAAAACGCGAGGGAGGCGCCACACTGCGGAGGGACGGACGGACGGACACAATGAGCAGCTGTGGGATTAAAAAAAGTTCAAATTTTTTTTTATATTACATCCGGAACTCACCTCATAATTTCATTAATGTTGAGTTGCTTCTCCCAGTTTCTCTCTATGCCGGGAACGTGACCCATCCCGACAACACCGACCACCACAGCAGGCACTTCTGTTAGGAAAACAAAAACAGAACAAAATCAGTCAAAACTTCTACAACCACATAGTCGTTATAGATCTCATAAACATGTATGACACCACAGGTCTTCTCTTGACAGACAGAATGAATCGCTGGCTGCGTTCTGGACAGATCGGAGTGTAAATGACGGATGAACAAAAGAAGCCCTGAATGTCTGGATTCTGCCTTTTTGCATAAATTATTCTGAGAAAATGCACTGCTAGACGTAGACAACGCGATTCACTGAGCATGACGTCCTGTGCTCTCACCATGAACGAAAAATGAGCTTTTAAACTCAGTAAAACATCCCACTGTTTTTGTGAGATAAAGGTCAAATCACACACACCGATACACATACATGTCAATGTGGAATAATAAACATGTGATTACGAGCTCATTGATACGCACTGAGAGCAGTACGGGGGTCCTCCACACAGCGAGTAGCCTGGCGCAGTGTGTGCGTGAGGTAGATGTCTCTTTCAGCCACGATGGTCTGGTGCAGAGTGGGAAACTCGCCGATCATCTCCGCCATCGTTTGTTCCAGTAAGTCCTTCTGTTTGCACTTCTCTACGTCTTCTTTACTAAAAACACGACAAAAAGTGCAACAGAGTCGTTAGTTGTCACGCTGGAAGGGGAAGACTTTTTTTTTTTTACTTTTTCTTGTTCACACAGTATTAAGTAAGCAAAGAATGAGGAACAAATAAACCGACGTGTGAATTGCAAAATACAGTTGGTGTTCTTTCCTTCAAAACTACACACGTCTTATTACTAGAATTTAGTTGATTGAAGCATTTTTTAGCATCTACTAGTAAAATGCAACAGGCTAAATCTAATAGACGATGGAAACATTTTATGCTAAAGGCTTCAATTTAGATCTAAAAGACTGTCAGCTCAACAAATTGGCAGAGTGAATGTAAAATATGTGTGGGCACAATTTTAAACACAGGACACACAGGCAGCTATGAATGCAACTATATGTGATCCTTTTCAACCGTTTCTGGTGCATGCCCACATGTGGTTCTTAACCACAGTGTGCTGCGAGTGAAACTAACCATGGTGAGCGTTTACCTGATTGGATCTGACAGAAAGCAAAGACCCCACCCCAGACGGGCCTTCTGCCACAGACTGAGGGCTGCAATGGCCCGCTTGAACGTCACAGGGATCGGCCTGTCCCCAAGCTGAAATCTACAGAATGGAACTTGTCCAGCCTGTGTAGGAAAGAAAAATAACTGAACAAAGGACATGACATAACATAAACTGACAAATCTGAAAGTATCATCTACCTACATCCATCATACACACTTGGTTTGGGTGAAGAAACAATTTTGTTTGGCAGCTGGGTGTCCATTTATGCTGATAGTGGACATTGGCTAAGTAGTTCCAGTTAAAAGGTCTGTTCACCAATTTAAATTCATGCTGGAACTTAATGACTCATATAAGCTTTAGTCTAACAGGCCGTTCGCTTTTCATTTCGCTAACAGGCCGCGGCAAAAAGTACACAAGGACTCGTTCCTTGTGAAAATATTTACAGTGATTATGAAACAATTACATGGCTGTACAGCTGGCTTGTCTTGCTTCTTTAACGTTGGCCTTCTGGCTTGAGGCTCAACCGAAGGCTTTACGAGCTGAGAGGACTAGAAACATCTTCTTTCGGCAAGTCGTAGCCAACCGATTTGATGGAAAAGTAAAAAACACTTTTCCAAAGAATGATATTGATATTGTTACACAGCATCTGGGTACTTTACCTCTTTGAAGGCTTCCCTAAACTCTCCTCCAGGAGCCATGCCCAATTGCTCAGTGATGTGCGCTGAAACTTTGAGCAGGAGAATCTGCATGAGGCCAGACATCAGCCCATTCTAACAAACAGAGGACAGAAAGTCGGGAAATTTGAGTTTTTAAATAGACTGACAGTAGTGCAGTCCTGTGTTTCTATGCATGCTTACTTAACAAATGGTTTAATAAAACCAAGAAGACAAAAAAGGACACAGACACAGACACCTAATCCTGCTTGAGATGTTAATTCCCCCACTCACAATGGCAGATGCCCTTCAGGGTTCCTCGCCACTATGGGACCAGAGCGGCTTCATATTGCAAAAAAAAAAAACCCCTAACGCCGTATTCAGATTACACAGTTCCTTCTTAGCCATATTTGCTCTTGCGGTGTTTCACAATAGCACAGTCGGTAATCTCCATCATTCCGAAAGCCTGACCTGTTTAATGGCCTGCTGAACCTTGTCCAGGTTGATGTCTTTGGCTTCCCTCAGTAGTGTATTCTCGTCCATCCTA